CTTACATTTAGGGCTTTGATCTATTTTGAGTTAATTGTTGTGTGTGGTGTGAGATAGAAGTGAAAGTATAAACTTTCAATGTATGAATCTTCGTAATATTTTACTATGTGTATACACTAGGCCAATATGTTAGATTGTTTATGTAGAGGATCTCAGGATCATTTAATATTTTTAGTTTATCATTAGTAAGTGCCCTTAAAAAGTCAGGACATGTGGTGATTGACACTGTCCCCAAGACATGCATCTGGACCCATCATGCAACGAGGCAGATGTGCAGAAGTGAACTCCGAGCAAGGAAGGGTTTTAGCTGGCCCTGCCTCCCCACTGTCTCCTGGTTTTCCAGTCCCTCCTCTTGATCCAAAGCCCAGGTATTCTCATTAAGGGCTGGAAAGCATCACTTAAATTTTCGCTGGGCACAGTGGCTCACACCTGTGATCCAGCACTTTGGGAGGCCAGGGCGGGCAGATCACCTGAGGTCAGGAGTTTGAGAAGGGCCTGGCCAATATGGTGAAATCCCATGTCTACTAAAAATGCAAAAATTAGCCAGGTGTGGTGGTGGGTGCATGTAATCCCAGCTACTCAGGAGGCTGAGGTGCGAGAATTGCTTGAACTCTCTCTGGGAGACTCTGTCTCAAAAAAAAAAAAAAAAAAAAAAAAAAGGGAAAAGAAAGTAAAAAAAAAAAGCATCACTTAAATTTTTAAAATTGTACTTTACTGCATGATGTAAAGTGCAGGGGTGGTATTAGCAAATCTGGATTTTGTGACAAGTCTTCCAACAACTGCATCCTTGGGATGATCAAGCACAACCTGTATAAATATCTATCCCAGGGGAGGAAGCAAGGGAGGGACAAGGAGAGGGAGAGGAGAAAGAAAGAATAAAAGAAGGAAGGAAGGGAAGGAATCCTACACAGGCTTAAGACAAGCATGGGTCAGTGGTTCCCAGACCTAAATGGCATCACGTGGGAAGCAAAAATTCACAGATTCCCAGGTCTCCTCTCCAGAGATGTGTGTCTCATTGAGCCCTAGGAATCAGTAGGTTTCCAAAGCTCATTGGTCTGAGTTGGGGACCTTGAAGGGGGTATGGTTTCTGAAGAGACACTCTACAGGGGGGAGATCTGTGCTATACCAGTTCAGGAAGCACAACCAGGTCTAAAGGGAAAGCTACAGGGAGGCAGCGTGGACTCAGGGTGAGGCTTTTTCTTGACTTTCACCCACAGGGCCGGGGGGCTGCCTTGTGATAGACTAAGCCTGGTCATGGGAGCATCTGCACAGAGGCCACGTGCCATGCTTTGGAATCTATGGGGAGGACTTCACATCCGGTGGGGCCGGTGAGGGGCTTCTGACCTTGCCACCCCTCAGATTCTAGGGAGAATATTGATAGACGCACAGGGGCTGAAAGAATCACTGCCTAAAGCCAGCGTTCCAGCTATGTGAGCACAGACAAGTCATCTCACTTCTCAGGGCCCCATCTCTACACTGAGAAATCTGACAAAACGAGGGCTTAGATGAGTTGATGCATTTTGCTTTCTTTTCCTTTTCTCCTTTCTCTTCTCCTCTTTCTTTTGATTTCCTGGTAGCAAAACCTTTTATCCAAATAAAATGCTGCAAACTTCCATTCAAACAATGAAAAGGACGGGCTGGGTGTGGTAGCTCACACCTGTAATCTCAGCACTTTGGGAGGCCAAGGCAGGTGGATCCCTTGAGGTCAGGAGCTGGAGAGCAGACCAGCTAACACGGCAAAACCCTGTCTCTACAAAAAAATAAATTAACTAGGGCAAGACGCTGTAGTTCACACCTGTAATCCCAGCACTTTGGGAGGCCAAGGCAGGCAGATCACCTGCCAAGATTGTGCCATTGCACTCTGGCCTGGGCAGCCTCTGCCTCCTGGGTTCAATCAATTCTCCTGCCTCAGCCTCCCAAGTAGCTAGGATTACAGAAAAGAGCCACCATGCCTGGCTAATTTTTTGTGTTTTTAGTAGAAGCAGGGTTTCACCATGTTAGCCAGGCTGGTCTCAAACTCCTGACCTCAGGTGATCTGCCTGCCTTGGCCTCCCAAAGTGCTGGGCAGGTCACTTGAGGCCAGGAGTTAGAGACCAGTCTAGCCAATATGGTGAAACCCCATTTCTACTAAAAGTTAGCCAGATGTGGTAGCAGGTGCCTATAATTCCAGCTACTGGGGAAGCTGAGGCAGGAGAATCACTTGAACCTGGGAGGCAGAGGTTGCAGTGAGCCGAGATTGCACCACTGCATTCCAGCCTATGCAACAGAGCAAGACTCCGTCTCAAAAAAAAAAAAAAAAATTAGCTGGGCATGGTGGCACACACCTTGAATCCCAGCTACTGTGGTGGCTGAAGCAGGAGAATTGCTTGAACTTGGGAGGCAGAGGTTGCAGTGAGCCAAGATCACGCCAGTGCACTCCAACCTGGGTAACAGAGTGAGGTTCCACTTCAAAAAAACCCGAAAAACCCAAAACAATGAAAAGGAGCTGGCTATTGGCTATTGGATGAAGTAGCAGTAAAGGGCCTAGAGACTTCTATTCCTCTTCCCCCAGGTCCCCCTTTCCCCCACAAAGCTCTGAATCCATTTGAAGACCTGTTTGGAACTCCTGGGCTGGACTCTCAGATAATGACATGCTGGCAGGTGTAAAATGATGAGGAGCAAAAGGACACTCTTCTCAGGAAGGCTCAAGAAGGTCTGGGCTCAGAGATCTGGAAAGAGCAGCAGACAGGGATGGCAAGGGGAAAGGCTGCCTTCCAAGCTGCCCTCTGGAGCTACTGCAAATATTTGACTTAACTTACTGACAATAGCTTGTTCTTAAATCATCTGTGTTGTCTGCAGTACAGCAATCATGAGTCAACTTGCTCTCTGACTGATGCGATGATTCACTGTGATGGGGAATCTGCAGGACACTGAATTTTCCAGGCACTAGCTGACAAAACACCTGCCCTGGGCTAGGATTTGCTACGCGGAAAGCTAGAGCTGGCAGCCACCTGCTTCTTGTGGCCCCCACAGATGCGTGATGGCTGGTTCATTTTCCATTCAGATGTTCCCTTTTAGGCTGTGGTTATCTTAAACAGGACAACTAAAACAGTATCTGAAGCTGTTGCCAGGGCAACTTGACAAAGGACTTTCCCCTCAGCTAGTATATGTGTAATGTGTCGAAGGCAGCTGGCTGCCAGGGATAGGAAAGAGAAGGGAACCTGTATAGGTTGCTACTCTTGGTCCTCAGAAGGAAAGTTGGAAGACTGTCTTCTGGTTAAATCAACTTATGTAGAACAGGAAAGCAACCCTGACCCATGCAATAAAAATTCAGGTTTGGGGCTGGGCATGGTGGCTCATGCCTGTAATCCTAGCACTTTAGGAGGCTGAGGTGGGTGGATCACGAGGTCAGGAGTTTGAGACCAGCCTGGCCAATATGGTGAAACCCCATCTCTACTAAAAATACAAAAATTAGCTGGGCGTGGTGGCACATACCTGTAGTCCCAGCTACTCAAGAGGCTGAGGCACTAGAATTGCTTGAACCCAGAGACGGAGGTTGCAGTGAGCCGGGATTGCACCACTGCACTCCAGCCTGGGCAACACAGTAAGACTCTGCCTCAAAAATAAATAAATAAATAAATAAAAAATAAAAACTCAGCTTGGGAGGCTAAGGGGCAAACCTTAAAGTTTTGTGATATCTGTAGCTAGATAAAGGCCTCACTTAAGACCTGTAAAATAGTTGCATCTAAGCTGCATGAAGACCTGGAGCTTAAAGTATGTCCTGAAGGGAAAGGAAGAGAGAGATGGCAAGAAATTAAAGACAACCAGGGCATGGGAGTTTGTTTAGATGCACACATGAAACTGGGAGTTTTTGACCTATCTGATAGCTCTTCTCTAAATCATACTCTCCCATGACTGCAGCCACTTGCACTGACACCAGTGTTAGAAAGCTTGGAGGACTTACAGAGACCAAGCTGAACCTGCTCATGGTATTGATGAAAAGACTGAGGCCCATGAAAGGTAACCTGCTCGACGCTTCACAGTAAGGGAAGGGCAGAACTAAGCCAGAAGCCCTGTTTCCTGCTTCCCTGTGGTCTTTCCACTGATCTGGTAGCTTTGTCCTGGGGACATCACTTTACTCTGTCTTTGAAAGAGGCATAGCCTGGACAGCTTTCAAGATATGCCCCCATAGAGTGCTGAGTGGTGAGGACCTTGGGCTCCTCCTGCCCTCCAAAGAATGCCTCTGTTTCCATCGATTTTTATATCTACTGGGGGACCCCACTTAAAATTATTTGAGGGGAAAAAAATTCTATCAGTAAAAAAGTTTGGTGATCATCAGTCTAACGCTGAACACATTAGATGGTGTTAATGGTTGCACAAATTTATGAATACAGTAAAACCACTGTGTTTTTTTTTTCTTTTTTTTTTTTTTTGAGATGGCTTCTCACTCTGTTGCCCAGGTTGGAGTGCAGTGGTGCGATCTCGGCTCACCACAACCTCCGCTTCCTGGGTTTAAGTGATTTTCCTGCCTCAGCCTCCTAAGTAGCTGGGATTAGATTACAGGTGTGTGCCACACCATCAGGCTTTTTTTTTTTTTTTTTTTTTCTGTATTTTTAGTATAGACGGGGTTTTGCCATGTTGGCCAGGCTGTTCTCGAACTCCTGACCTCAAGTGATATAACCCTTGGCCTCCCAAAGTGCTGGCCTTGGCCTCCCAAAGTGCTGGGATTACAGGTGTGAGCCACCATGCCCGGCCACCACTGAGTTTTAAAATGGGATGCTTGAAAGTAGTGAATTCTGTTTTTAAAAATTATTTTATTATATATCTATATAATTTGTTTAAAAAATGAAAGGGATCTTTGTTCACACAAAGGGAGACCCCAAAACAAGCAGTGTGTCACACTTAGGATTGGGAACTAAACAGGAACAGAATGTGACAATGCCAACCCTGAGGTCTCCCCTTCCCCTGCCAACCCCCAGGATTCGGGTGGGAGTCCAGGATCCCCCTGGGCCACTCCTTACCGAGTTGGTGCCAAGGATCTGCAGGTTGGGCTTCTCCGACTCCAGCAGCTTGGCCACCATCTTGAGGAAGCTCTCCACGAAGAGGTTGATGCTCTGGCAGTGGCAGGCCATGAGCAGCTGGTCCAAAGCCTCCATGGCAATGCACACGTACCTGGGGAGGGCAGCACACGCCATCACTGGCCGCACCCCTGCCACCCCGTGGCCCGACCGGGTCATGCCAGGTGTCAGCGCGGTGACCTGGGAAATGCACCATCCAGGTAACGAGGCTCCCCCACAGCCTGCCAATGTCTGGGCAGCCTTTCCAACAAGTGTCTGCTCCAGTCCAGAACTGAGTCAGAACAAACCTGGGCTGGAAAGAAGCCTGGAGACCAACTCATTCAGCCACTTATTTTACAGATTAAGAACAGGAGGATGGATGAGATGAGCATTTCATGAGTCAATACAAAGAGCAAGATTGATACCCACAATAGCAAACTCTAAGTCTAAACTCTGTGAGGTCGGAGAATTACCCAGTCCAAGTCAAGAGTGTTTTTGAGTGCCCACTGCGGAAAGGCTCTGTCCTAAACAGTGCAGGTGGTGTAAGGATGAGGAAGGCAGTCATTCAGCTGAATGAGCTGAGATAATACACAGCTTTTCCTTTAAAGGGAAAATAACTAACAAGAAAATCATGCATGATGTACTATAAGGTTTCCAAGGATGGAGAGAGATGGCTCGAGTGGGGAGGAAGTCAAGAGCTTTATGAAGAATCTGGGTCAGGCCTGAGGACCAACTTCAAGGCATAGAAAATTGCAAGTTTTGCGTTTGAAAGCCTCAGAAAGTACTCTGCAAGCAATGTGGTTGACAGCATTACTATGCAAGGCATAGAAAATTTGCAAGTGTTGTATTTGAAAGCCTCAGAAATCCCATGATAGATTACTATACAAGCAATATGGTTGACAGCATTACTATGTTTGGACAATACTCCCTACTGAGGGAATAAGACAGACAAGATGGATACAGAATAAATTTCTTTTCTCCTTATGAGGAAAGTTCCCTGTGTGAACTAAGTCTTAGTTCTACTTAAACAATTCCTCTCAATTCTAAAACCTGAGTGAACAACTTCAGAAACTAGGAATATACAACATCCAGTGTCAAAGAGCTAAGTCAGCTCACTAGATGACTGACAACTGGCATGGTTGGCTCTGTGTCCCCATCCGAATCTCACCTTGAATTGCAATAATCCCCACACGTCAAGGGCAGGGCACCAGGTGGAGGTAATTGAATCATGGGGTGGTTTTCCCCATACTGTTCTTGTGACAGTGAGTGCATTCTCTCGAGATCTGATGGTTTTATAAGGGGCTTCCCCTTTAGCTTGGCTTTCATTCTCTCCCCTGCCTCCGTGTGAAGAGGTGCCTCCCACCATGATTGTAAGTTTCCTGAGGGCTCCCCAGCCGTGCAGAACTGTGTAAGTCAATTAAACCTCTTTTCTTTATAAATTACCCAGTCTCGGGTATTTCTTCATAGCAGCATGAGAATGGACTAATACAGTGAAATAAAATGTCAAGCTAAAGCCTACTAACCTCTGTCCTCTATTTGCAATTCTACTCTTAGGAGAAGCAAAAAAGAGGGCCATGCCATCTCCTACCTCCAGCTCCTCAACCCCTGAAAATAACAATCTCATTTGTTATTCTTGCTGTTCTCTCCTCTGTGCTAAATATACCCAAGCCCTCCCAAACTAGCCTTCACAGGACAACCCCCAATTATCTTAGTTGTCTTACCCAATGCTTCTCATAAATCTCCCCAAAAAATGCCAAGAATCAAATTCCTAATAAGGAGAAAGACACCTCTAAGCTCAAATTTCATATTTGTTGCAAGAGTGTGACATAACTAGTAATGTCTACATTATAAAACATCATCCTTTACTTACAAAGCATTTGCATTCTAAAGAAAGAGGGTTTTTGTTGTTTGTTTTGTTTTGTTTTCTAGCAAGGAAGCTGCTGCAAACCTTTCAGAAATTATTCTGGTTAAAATCTTTATAGTTTTGGAGTTAAGTTTCTGGGGTAGAATGCTAGATTTCTCTCCAAAATATGTCCCTTTGCCTTTCCCTAGTAATTCAGAATTTTAGCTGTGCATGTGGCTGCTCACTTGGGACTCCATTTCCCAGTCTCTCGTGCTGTGAGGTGAGACCACATGACAAAAACATTGCCATTAAAATGAGGGGAAATGGCCAGGGCATGGTGGCTCATGCCAGGAATCCCAACACTTTAGGAAGCTAAGGTGGGCAGATTGCTTGAGCCAGGAGTTCAAGACAGCCTGGGCAACATGGCGAGACCCCTTCTTTACAAAAAATACAAAACTTTGCCAAGCATGGTGGTGTATGCCTGTAATCCCAGCTACTTGGAAGGCTGAAGTGGGAGGATCACTTGAGTCTGAGAGGTTGAGGCTGCAGTGAGCCATGATTGAACTACTGCACTCCAGCCTGGGTGACAGAGTAAGATCCGGTCTCAAAAATAAATAAACAGGCCAGGCAGAGTGGCTCACACTTGTAATCCCAGCACTTTGGGAGGCCAAGGTGGGTGGATCATGAGGTCAGGAGTTCAAGACCAGCCTGGTCAATATGGTGAAACCCTGTCTCTACTAAAAATACAAAAATTAGCTGGACATGGTGGTAGCACCTGTAGTCCAAGCCACTCAGGAAGCTGAGGCAAGAGAATCGCTTGAACCCAAGAGGCAGAGGTTGCAGTGAGTCAAGATCATGCCACTGCACTCCAGCCTGGGCGACAGAGCAAGACTTTGTCTTATTAAAAAATAAATAAATAAACAAACAAATAAAATAAGAGGAAGATATGTGAACATCAGCATCTCTTGATTATAAGACACAATTGTGTCCTCTCTTTCCCTCTTCCTACCAGCTGGGAAGTGGCAACAACTGGAGACCCAGAGAGGAAAGTCATGTGCTGCAGATCCCTGAATGACCTCATGGAGCACAGCCCACTGGCCCACTTCATAGTGGTGTGAGAGAGAAGAGAAACACTTCCATATTGCTGGAACCACTGTCTTTTTTAGTTTCTTTATACTCCAAATAGCACAGGAACCTAATAATCAGGTTTAGGAGTGCTTTAGAAGCCTGATGGCACAAATAAAGGTGAATTCTGAGCAATCCAAAGCAAACCAAGTGACTAACCTCATTGGAAAGGAAAGTAAGAGCCAGAAATTTGTCCATCCTGCTAGAGGTGAGATCATTGCAAGGCTTCATGAACTCAGAGTTTGGGCTCATGTGCCCATTACAGGATGGTGACCCTTCTACTTGTAATGTCAAATCGTGTGGAATAGAAAAGTACTTCCTGATACAAAGAAAATACAGGAGAGGTAAAGTAAGCAGAAAACTGTAAAGCCTAACTGGGGTACCAAGAAATCAGGTTAATGTTTCCTCAGTCAAAATCAAGTAGCAAAAGGCTTCTCTTACAAGATCACAGCAAGCTGTCACTATGGGATTTTATAATGTTTAAAGGTGCCCAAAACTCTAAAGTCAGGTTCATATGCTGTAAATATAATAAAGATGAGTTAAGAAGTTTTTCCTTCTTTATGTCTTGACCCAAATCATATCCATCATTGAATGTTAGGCAGATATTTAAAAGAAAAAAAATTTTTTTAGACAGAGTTTTGCTCTAGTTGCCCAGGCTGGAGTACAATGGCGTGATCTCGGTTCACTGCAACCTCCACCTCCCAGGTTCAAGCAATTCTTCTGCCTCGTCCTCCTGAGTAGCTGGGATTATAGGTGCCCACTACCATACTCAGCTAATTTTTTGTATTTTTAGTAGAGATGGGTTTTCACCATGCTGGCCAGGTTAGTCTTGAACTCCTGACCTCAGGTGATCCACCCACCTTGGCCTCCCAAAGTGCTGGGATTACAGGCATGAGCCACCACACACAGCCTATTTAAAAATTCTTGATTAGCTAGTCTTTTTTTCTTTTTCTTTTCTTTTTTTTTTTTTTTTTTTTTTTGAGATGGAGTTTCGCTCTTGTTACCCAGGCTGGAGTGCAATGGCGCGATCTTGGCTCT